GAGACAAACAACCATTCACTCTCTCACTCACACTTTAGAGTTATCAGTTAACCTAACAGTCATGTTTTTGGTCTGTGGGAGGAAGCTGGAGTACCTGGAGAAAACCCACACATGCACGGAGAGAACATGCATTAAAAGTAAATTTCTGACATAAAATCTACTCAAGTATCAAAAGTAAAAGTACTGAGTAAAAACGAGCAGTTAAAATCTTCATAAATGACATTTAACTCTCCAAAAACTATATTTTCTAACAGCGTGCAGCTGTGATGGGTTGTGTACAAGCTAATAGTGTGTCAGAATGGTATATATTTATACTTCTCATCCAAACACAATTAAATTCACTCTATCAGGAGAGGATTTTTAAAGTAACAACTCAGAATAAAACAGGAGTAACAACTTTGTACTTTTTACCTTTTTAAAAATGTAGTGAGTAGAAAGTACAGATAATTGTGTAAAAATGTAATGAGTAAAAGTAAAAAGTACGCTGAAAAATAATTACTCAAGTAAAGTACAGATACCCAAAATTTCTACTTATGTACAGTAACAAAGTATTTGTACTTAGTTACTTTACAACTCTGTCTACAACATCTATGTTTATCTAATACGTCTAGATTCAGACGACTGTAAACATAACAGATAAAAGTGAGCTGATGATGTTAGCATTCTTCTTGTACATTATTATGCTAATATTCATTAAATATTATGTTTTAAACAGATTAATATATTTCAGATTATAAAACAATGACCACTGCAATGTTTTCATAATGTTTTAGCATTAAGCCAAAGCCTGAAATACTAAGTAAGTGCTTTACAAAATAAACTGGTACTGTTTCAACATTGAATATTGTTATGATTTTATTACTTAGGTGTTAATTATATTTTATGTTGTTTTTAATAAATACATATTATCTTCAGTGAGTTTTCCTGGACAGCTGGTTTGTTAGCCGTTAGCTGCAGACTCGTCATGAGGTTTCATCAGTCCGGACCGGGCTCTGACGGTGAGCTGTGTTGTTGTTTGCGGTCAGACAGACCAGACCTGTAAGTACAGACCTGTGGATTTCTGAGTCACGTGACTCGGCTCCTRCAACCTGCTGCTGCTGCCGGCCGGCTGCTCCCAGCTTTCAAACAATAACAGCAGGTAAATTTCACTTCAAGCATAGCTGTAGTTTAGACAGTCAGGTTTCACTTCCTCCTCCACCTCGTTTCTTCTTTTTTTTAAACGAGGGGGAGTGACGCCGAAGCTCCAGGGCCTTTACATCCCCGGGATAAAGTTAGGTCGCTCCCCGGCTCAGACAGCTTCTSTGCCGGTAGAGACCTGACTTATTCCCGGTGACAGATCTGAGAAAGCGAGGTGGGGGTCGGATTTGTGGAGCTTACAGTGCAGAGTTGCCACCTAATCCCGGTGTGACGGGGGTGGGCAGCCCGGTGCAGGAGCTGAGGGAGCTCTTCCTCCTGCCTCCTCTTCCTCCACACGTGCACATTATGGTCACRGGGGGAGGATGTCAAACTCTCAGACTTATGATTGCTCTCAGAGCAGCTTGTTTACTTCAGGTAGTGCTCATCTCAGCAGCTTTCAGCTCCTCGGAGCAGTCAGAGCTGTCACCTTGTTTTCTTCTTGTTGTTTATTGTTTACTGCAGGATGGCGGAGGCCCCCTCCTCCTGTGACTGTTTTGTGTCCCTGCCACCTGGTTCTCGTGACGACCAGGTGATTTTTGGGAAGAACTCAGACCGACCCCGGGATGAGGTGCAGGAGGTGGTCTACTGCCCAGCAGCGTCCCATCCTCCAGGCTCCACACTGGAGGTAAAGACCATCATCATCATCATCATCATCATCATCATCATCATCATC